CATTTTGGGTGCAGCCTCAGGAGGAGGCTTTGTCTGCCCTCAATGTACCAGCAGGCCTGGATTAAATTTGTCTGCTTTTATTCTCCTCACTTTGCCTGGCCCCTGTTTCAGGTGAGCCCTGTTTTAGGCATCACTCCCAGCCAGTGTGGGATGACTTTTAGACATTTCAGTTTTAGGCATCACTCCCAGCCACCGTGCCCAGGCAGCACTGGGAAAGGGCAGTGCCACCCCCACATGCTGTGCTCCAGGGCTTCCTTCCCCCACTTTGGAYCAGCTGTGCTGCTGATTTTCAGGTCAGATTTTTATGCTATTGGCAGCCAAAGGCTTTTWGAGACAGCCCTGGTACAATATAAAAGCCAGGTAAGCTGGCAAWGGCAGCTCCGTGGTGCCTGAGTGGGAACCACGGGACATTGCAGGTATAAAAGAAACATCCCTCTGCATTCTGGTGATACAGTTCATCTGTGGACATTTACATGATTAGGGAAATYGCTGGAAAACACTGACACAGAGGGGAAGGCAATGCAAAGGGACACGAAGTAAAATATTTATGCATTTCCCGCTTTATGAGAGAAAACCTTTTATTGTGCAGAGTGCTTATCTGTTAAAAACCACTGCGATGAGGTAATAAAAGATATATTTTGAAAATAGGCTTTTGCCTCTGCTTATTTATATGAGATTTTTCTCTCTCTATCCATCTATGTACATTTCCTAGKCTACAGGAGAATATTTATCATATGCTGAGCACTAGGACAAACCCATTTTACTCTATGTCCTCAGAACAGGGCAAAAGCCCTGTTTTCCATGACTTCCAAGTCATACATAYATGGAAAATAATTAATTTTGCATTGGGTCCATGAGCACTTGGTAGAAAAACATACTTCTAAGAAAGCAAAAATGATACAAAATCTAGATACAGGCTCAAAAACCTTTTAACTTTAAGATGGTAAGTTTCTAATAATGTATTAAATTGCACTGTTCCAAATAAAATCAATCCAGTCATTATGCTCATTCTTTTTTTTTTTTTTTTTTCCTTTTGTCTTCATGTTAGAAATAGACTACAAAGCTTGCAGAGAATCTCAGCAGGATGCCAAATCATTTTAACCTAGCTCAGCGAGATACCCATTGGAACCACAGTAGAAAATATGGATTTTGAATGAAAGATCAACAATTATCTAGATTCAGACTTATCTTCTTTGTTTTCTTCAGTATTGCCTAATTAGTGAAAGCTTTATTCCTTTTATCTGTTATATGTGTCTTTTACTGGTGGTGTCACTTGCCTGCATGAGAYGGAAGCTACACTGCACTGAGAGGAAATAAATATATTTTCTGAAGTTTCCAGGCCTTTTTGTGTTCATGCAAGAGGAGTAACAAGGGAGGCAGAGATCTGTGTACACTGTTGTGGACATAATTTCTTTATTCCTAAGTTTTTAACCAGACAGAAAACTATTAACCTTTCTCTAACAACAACTGCATTTTTAAAAATTACATTATAAACCAAGGCAATATGAAAATTAAAAAAAAAATAAAATACTTGATTAAAAAAAAAAAAAAGCCAAAAAAAAAATCCCAACAAAAAACAACACAGTAACACATTCTTATATAGGAGCACACACATATATAATGGCACTTACTCTGTGCAAACTTAGGAGGATTGTCATTCACATCYGTGAGTGTAATTGTCACTGTTGTAGTCCCAGAGAGTCCACCCATGTGTCCTCCCATGTCCTTTGCCTGGATGACCACAAAGTATTCTTCTTTGGCTTCTCTGTCCATGTTGGGAAGAGCTGTTTTAATTATAGCTACAATAACAGAGGGGAAACCAGTCAGGTACAGACAGAAATTCAGTTTGCAGCTGGTTTTATGGATATATGCAAATATTGGTATACAAAGAATGTCAAAGGTCCAGTTAGGTTATTTCTTAATTCAAAGGATGAAGAARAATTTGAGATTTTGAAAAAAAAATATAGAAGAGGTCACCTACCTTGATTTAATTGGAAGTGCACTGAAACTGTGGTTCAAAACGCAAGAATTAATCATAGCCAAGATACACATTTTACATTTTATTCCTGACAAACTTCTTGGTTTCTGCCCTATCTCTCACAGAAAGCCACCATTTCCCCCCAGAATTCCAAACCAAAAGACAACCATGAAGAAAGCTGACTCTRTGAATAYATCTGTTCAKATAATTTAAAACATTTGAAAYCCAAACCCATTATTTAATCTGCTYTAGTGAACAKAGCAGGCTMCAGTTGTTCTGCTARGCCTTAAACTGAGAGCCTAAACTTSACCAGGACAAGGACAGACTCCACCCCACTGTCCCTGCTCAGGGGGGTCACCAGTGGGACAATGACCCCTCATCACCTACTTTAGCAGGTTAAAATCTTACAAACCTGCAGAACCAAAATAATCTGCTGTATATCAACACAGAAAATATCAGTGGGCTGAAGGAAATATCAGCCAAGCATAGCCCAATCAATCAACTCCAAACTCCTGTGGATTTTATGGACATGTAGCAGAAGGAACAATAAAACCATTTTTCCTCCCAAAATTTTCCCAGCTCTAATGGTCTGTTATATTCACAATATGTATGGAAAGTGCAATAGTAAATGTTTAATGGTAAATTTAAATGGTGCCCATTGCAGTTTAGTAAAGTCCACCATAATTATAAGACCCTAATGGACTAAAGAAGCTCCATGAAAACTGAGGAAAACAATTCAAAATGTTAAATTGAAATAAAGTTGTTTTTTTTTTTTTTCTTTTTTCTTTTAACCCATTTTTTAAAATTCTGTTAAAAAATGTTTTTCCTAGTAGACATTGATGGTGACTCAACAAATCTTTGGAATTAATTAAAAAAGTAAGTATTCTGTATTTTTCTGTGTATTTGTTAAGGATTGCAAGTTGAGTATCACAGAGTYCCAGGRTGGGTCAGGCTGGAGGGTCCCCAGGGCTCYTGTGGTGCCCCCTCCCTGCCCCAGCAGGGCCATCCCAGAGCACAGGGCACAGCAGTGTGTCCATGTGGCTCTGGAACAGCCCCAGGGAGGAGACTGCCCAGCCTCTCTGTGCATYTATCATCAATAATTTAACACTGAGAACCCAATCATATCTTCTTTTTGTGTCCAAGGGGCGTGCTCAGAGTAAGGGGGTGTGAGGCATTTGGAACAAAGCCACACACTTCCTCCATAAATCACCAAATATAACATAAGAGCAGGCTTGTAACCTACACTCTTTTACATTTTTTTTCCATAAAATATTTCTGGTTGTTGCCTCACATATTTCATAATTGTGGAGGAAAAGGAAACCTCTGCGTTATGTGTGCAACAGAGAAATCTGCTCCTGAGGAACTCAGAGCCACAGAAGGGCTGGGGTTGGACAGGATCTCTGGAGATCTTYTGGTCCAACTTTCCTGCCAAGGARGGGTCACCTGGAGCAGGGACACAGRACCATGTCCAGAGGGACAGGAGRACTCACCATCAGTGAGCTTCCATCACAGCTGAGTGGGGTTTGGAGCTTTCCAGCAGGYTGAGGTTCCTCAGTTATTCCCCCACACCCTGAACAAAATGCATCTGTTGTATTTTCTGAGTACAAGGWGGGCAACAATAAACCCCATTCATCAGGTTTGATAGGTGAGAAATACAGTCAGTGCAAGAGCAGGGTCATTTCCTTTATGGCAGCCTGGGTAAGGAGAGTAAATGGTGCTTAATTCCAAAAGCATTTGATGTTGTGGCTGGTTTGGACAGACTGGGTTACTATTTATGAATAATAATGATGTATTCTGCAAATAAGTCCATTGTTATAAGTGAAATGACTCATATTTTATGAGTGCATTCTAATGCAAACATAGGCTATCAGAATTTGGCCCACATTAATTTTTTTTCACCAGTAGAGCTGATCCAAGTATCAGTGAAACTTCATTTTTGTGGAGCTTGTATTAAGCATATTATACTTTTTCTCCATTATATTTTTTTAGGCAGCCTCTATGTTTGTTTGGGTTTTTTTAACCTAATTTACATAGCTAACTCTAGCCTACAGATGAATTGTACAAGATGCCACATTTTGTATTCTGCATTTTCCATTGAGACAAGTCAATTATTTCACTAAAGTGATGTTTTTTTTCCTAGACAGGTATTTTAATTTGTCTCTTGATGTATTGAACAATCTAGCCCTTGCCTATGGTATGAAATATATTAGGAAGATTAAATACCTGTAGAAGTGCCAAAGTRAAAATTACAATTTGGGCTTTTAAGACATAAAAATTTTTGGGTTTCTTTTTCTGTAGGGAGGTACTAACACAGGCTGTTATTTCAATAGTTTTATACATCTCTGCTGTCTCAGACCATAAACCATTTGCCAGAAGCTGAGTCAAAGTCAAGTTTCAATTTCAAACACAATAAAAGGCTAAAAAGCAGTTTACTGTTTAAATTACTCTGAGAGGAACTGAAGGTTTTTAAGCATCAAACCTACCCAAATTACACGGGCTGATTGTTACCACCACATTCAGAATCTACAGAATTGAGGTCAGCAACAGAGAAGGGCTGATCTCTCTTAAGAAGAAAATTTCAAAAGCCCCCTCCTCACCTATTGTGATCAAGACAAATACAGGCTGAGGGAGTTCTGCATAGAGAATCTCAAGGATATTTATTTGCCCTTTTGCTTTTTTCATGAGTTCTCAGGCTGGGCTTGCAGCAGGTACTGGAACCATCTGTTTATTTTCAGAACACAATCCRGGCTCACCAAATACCACCACACACCCGGCACAGAGAACATTAACTCGCCGAGCATTCAGCCTGCTCTGCCTCAGCTCAACCCAGAAACAAATCGAGAATAAAATCATAATCACTTCCAGCAGGCAGTGATGGATGAAAAGGATATGTGCCAAGCAGGAGCAGTTTAAAAGCGAGAGAATTACCATAAACTAATGTAAGGCAGGTAGATGCTTGTTGGAAGATTGTATTCAGAGCGGTTATCAATGGTTTACTGTCAGAGGGGAGAGATGGATGATGTGCTTCATGGGCTTTGTTCTGCTTCTGGAACCATTCAATATTTCCTGAATGATGGGAGGCAGGCACAACTCACCAAGCCTTTTAGATGGCACCAAGTTGGGAGCCATTGCAAGTACAGGAAGGAACRGGATTAGAGTTCAAAACAATTTCCACAATTTGGAGAGTCTGAAATAGCAGGATGCAACTCAATTTGGCAAGTAAAAWGCATTTTGTGTGAGGGAAACAATTAACTTTCCAATTACAATAGAGCAGATGACTCACAAGACAGAAGAGAATGTGGAGTCAAAATGAGCTGAATGTGAGACAACAGCATTTTGCTGATAAAAATGCTCAAGCATTTCCTGGCGTATCATCAGTATGTTATGTGGAATAATTGTGGAATAATCCTTCCAGTTCACAGGTAAGGCTGCAGCTGCAACAGCACATCTAGTTTTGAAAAATATTAATTTATGTAGTCATGGAARTATAAGGAAAGTCTTTACAGCCAAAGATGTAAAAACTACAGGGAACTTCTCCCCTTTTCCAATGGGGAGAAGAGGAAAAGATAATGGGTCTAAAATATAACCTCAAAATGAGTTTCAGCTGAACCAAGAGAGATTTCAGTTGAACATTAGGGGAACAGTTTCTAAAGCAGAAGGTAAGAACTGATTGAAGGATTTGCAGCATTCCCGTTTCCATAAGTTTCTAAGAAACAATCAATCATCTGCCAAGAACGGGAAGGGAAAAGCCTGACGCTTTTTGGAGCTGAGGGCACTCACTGCTTTCTCACTTGAGGCTCCTTCCCTCCATAATGTCTAAGTTAAGRCTTCATCTCCCTGTAGYCTGAAGTAATTCCCAATAATTTCTYAGTGCTGTGAAAATATTCATACAWGTASTACAGACATGGAACAGGCACCCACCAGAATTCCCTACAGATCCKCTCCCTCAGGCTGCAAAGATCAGGAAGCACCTTGGAAAGTAAAGAACYCAAGAAGCAAACTACTCCTTCCAAAGATGAAACCCCCAATATTAAAGTACCTATTTTTTTTTTTTATTTTATTTCTTTTTTTTTGGCTGAGTTGCTTTCCCCAAACAGCCACCGGTGTCCCACTGCTCAAGAGCAATGAAGMAGCTGCAGAGGGGCATTTACTGCTGCAGCAGTCCTGACTGCACACACTGAGCAATCTGCACAATCTGCCTCACGACTTGAATCAGTCAAAACGCACCCCTGGGGGCCCCTTTCAAAAACCTRTTTGGAGGAATATACAGTGTCTGGCTCTGAAAAAGACCCGGGGAGAAGAAGCAAAGTGTCAGAGGCTGCAGCTCGTGAAAAGAAAGAAGAGAAGCCAAAGAAGCTATCGAAATAAGGACCTGGCTTTCACTTTTCTCCCCATTTTTTTAAGCATCTCTTTATGATAATGCCATAAAACCATACATAATAATAATAATTGGGCACATGGAACAAAACCAAGCAAGCACTATGCAAAATTGGACCCTGGCCCTGAAAAGCCTTTCTCAGGCATCCCATTCATCTCACGCGCTTTGTTGGAGACTTCCTGCTATTTCAACTTGCACACTTTGATACTTTGGAACTTTCCCTACTTCATTTTGTGAGAGCTAAGTAATTGCTTTGATCTTCCTTCCRTGCTAAAATCTTGGTGGAGATTCTTATGAAATATAACAGTCATTTAGGACCCAAACTCCTGAAAATCAATCATGCAATTTCTTCAGAGAGCCGTGAGTGGCATTCTTTGTGTTCCCGTGAAGCACAGCGACCTCAGTGATGTTTTAGTGGCCCATAAGAAAGGTTCCCTTGGAGA